CTCCTCCTCCTCCTCCTCCTCCTCCTCCTCCTCCTCCTTTTCCCCCTCCCCCTCCCCCTCCCCCTCCTCCTCCTCCTCCTCCTCCTCCCCTCCTCCTCCTCCTCCTCCCTCCTCCTCCTCTCCTCCTCCTCCTCCCCCTCCCCCTCCCCCTCCTCCTCCTCCTCCTCCTCCTCCTCCTCCTCCTCCCTCCTCCTCCTTTTTCCTCCTCCTCCTCCTCCTCCTCCCTTTTCCTCCTCCTCCTCCTCCTCCCCCTCCCCCTCCTCATCCTCCTCCTCCTCCTCCTCCTCTCCTCCCCTCCTCCTCCTCCTCCTCGTCCTCCTCCTCTCCTCCTCCCCCTCCCCCTCCTCCTTCTCCCTTTCCTCCTCCTCCCCCTCCTCCTCATCCACCTCCTCCTTGTCATCTTCATTATCCTCGTCCTCCTCCCCCTCCTCCTCCTCCTCCTCCTCCTCGCCCTCGTCCTCCCCCCCCCTCCTCCTCCTCCTCCTCCCCTCCTCCTCCTCCTCCTCCTCCTCCTCCTCCTCCTCCTCCTCCTCCTCCCCCTCCTCCCTCCTCCTCCTCCTCCTCCTCCTCCTTCTCCTCCCCTCCTCCTCCTCCTCCTCCTCCTCCTCCTCCTCCTCCTCCTCCTCCACCTCCTCGTTCTGGCAGAGGAGGCCTCGCCAGAACAGGGGGGCGCGCTGCGACCGCCGACCCCGGAAAGAAGCGGCCTGGGCCCGGACGAAGATGGGCGCGAGAGCCAGAATGGGCACGGTGCCCGACAGCAGCTCCTGTTCATGTGGAACAGGACTCATTGGTCGGGCCGCCGCGGACGCTGTCCTGCGAAGACAGAAGACCGCCTGCACAACGGCGGCCGCTGTCGGTTTGGGACAACATCTGTCGTTGGGCATTGCACCCATCATTTCTTTACCCACTTCGGGCGTCCAAATCCAGGGCGCCTGGGGCTTGTAGACGTCGATGGCTTCGCTATGAAAAGCGCGACGTTCCCATAAAGAGATACTCGGCCATCCCAGGGTTTCAGGGTTGGGTGCCCTGTGGAAGGTGTTTTGTGGCCGAGCTCCTACTGCACGCGTAAGGGTGAGTGACGCTTCGCCGGAATGACCTTGGGCGCGGGCCCGCTGGCGCCCCCCATTGCTTGAAAAATATGCGACGGCACAGCACCTTCGTGCAGCCTTCCGAGCTGCCCTGCAGCTAGGACCGCAAGCGCAGCTCCGTGATCGCAGGGTCAACTACACGGAAGGAGTGAGCCTTCGCCAGGTTGTTTTTTTTGGTGCGCGCCCGTCGTGACCATCACAGCGAGGTTTGCGGTCGCGATCCTGTGCCGATGGATGACTTCTCGCCGCCCAGCTGCGCCAGTCTTCTGCACTCGAGCGTGCTCGCCCTTTCGTTTGTATTCACGTGGCGCCACCGTCGGGACAGGCACCTTTGTCCCGCAGGCCCAGATGACGTGCACGCTCGAACGTCGGAAAGGGGCCTCGCGTCGTCGTCCCGCCCTTGTGTTTGTTCATGTTGGGCTACATGCCTCGCGATCCCTACGGCGAGTTCCAGGCCTGTGCATTCCAGGCCTGTGCAAAGCCCGACCAGCCGTGCGAGAAGAAGCGCATCGGCGCGGCCACCGGGGGGGTCGTCGTGGAATGTCGGATATGCACATTGACCTTCACATCGAGGTGAACAGTCGTGATCTTGTGCCATTTGAGGATTTCGCGCTGCCCAGCGCTGCAGGTCAACTGCACGCGCTCGCCGTTTCGTTTGTAATCCTGGCTGCTACTCGTGGCGCCACCGTCGAGACAGGCACGTTGTCTCGCAGGCCCTGATGACGTGCAGACTCGAACGTCGGAAAGGGGCTTGCGTCGTCTGCCCCCCCTCGTGCTTTTTCGTGGTGGGCTGCTTGGCTCGTGATCCCTTCGGCGAGTTCCAGGCCTGTGCGTTTTCCGCATCCGCGCGGCCACCGAGGGTCTTCGTCAAACGTCGGATTCCAAGCCTTCCAGATGTGTTCCGAGCAGACGGGGTCGGAGGATCGCGCCGCATCGCCGATGCTTCGGCGATGCGACTCGATGTGGAGCCCGATTTCTCCACGCCGAAGTCGCCGATGCATCGCTGACGTCGCCGGTGCATCGCCGATGCACTGGCGATGCGGCGAGATCCTCCGATCCCATCCATTCCGACCCTTTCTAGGGGCCCTTTCTAGGAGGTCTCTAGGGACGGCGTGTGATAAAGCAGAAGCCAGGACGCGCTGCAGACTGATCACATCATAGACACCTGCTCAACATCCAAAGCGCCAGCAGGGAGCGCAGAGCACTGGGGATGGAGGGAGAAAGGGAGGAAGGAGGATCTGGGCGTCCTGGGCTTTTGGGGGGTCTTCGGGGGCGCCCTCGTGGCAGCGGTTGGACCCAGCCCGACAAACCGCACGGGATAAACCCCCGAGAAAAGATTCTGGAAACCCGTTGCGCGCGCAGCTTCTGCCGGGGACGGGGCGAGGGGCGGCCGTCCCAGAATGCCCGAGGAGGAAGCAACAAAAACAGTAACGCAAAGAAATGCACAACCAGAAACGTTGATCGTCTGAGCGGATTTCTTGGACCCGCTTGCGGCGTCTCCAGCGCCGCCCCAGGCGCGCTCCGCGCGCCAGGGAGGGAGGCCCAGCGCCGACACACAAGGAACCCGCCCAGGCCTCCGAGGGTCTACGTTTATGAAGTTTCGTATCACGAGAGATCTCCTGCCTTCAAAGAGGTCTCCACGGCCTCCCACCCGGAGGAGGAGGAGGAGGAGGAGGAGGAGGAGGAGGAGGAGGAGGATGAGGAGGGGGAGGGGGAGGAGGAGGAGGAGGAGGAAGGAGGAGGAGGAGGAGGAGGGAGGAGGAGAGGAGGGAGGAGGGGAGGAGGAGGAGGAGGAGGAGGAGGAGGAGGAGGAGGAGGAGGAGGAAAAGGGGCCTCTTGGGAGCCCTCCTGCCTTCAAGGAGGTCTACGCGGCTGCCCCCGTTCTGAGGGGCCCAGTGCTCTCTTGTGCACGGCCGCCCTCTTCGCCCCACCCCTATCCGTAGACACGCTGACGGCGATGCAGGTAACGATGTAGGTTTCTATACTGTAGGTGGAGGTGGTTCGTGGCCACCCCAATTGTAGGAGAGCGCTGTCCGCGTTCTCCTGCAACCATTCGCCGTGCCGCTCTCGCTCGATGCGTCCGCGTTCTGAGTAATGCAGGGAAGTGTGGTTTGCGATTTCCCGCCATTTGTTCTGCGCGAGTGGCGTCGCAGAAACTAGATTCCCAATATCGCTGCTAGCCAGCATCGCCTTCAGCGTGGCCTTGGCCTATGTGCCCTGCGCCGCCGGTGCTTACACTGGCACGTCCAGTCGCTCGAGTAGACGATCGACTGCAAATTCGGTTTGCCCAAAAGTTGCACGTTCACCGAATCTATACGAAAATCACTTTGGCCGTTCGTACACCTACGATTGTCCCACGTATATTTCGTGGATGGGACCAGCAAGTAATTTGTGGGGGCATCACTTCTGTAGTCGCTCCCCTATCCGAACAGTTACCAACCATCACGGAGCACACGTGATATCGGGTCAGGAGCGCTTGTGTTCAGCGCGCCATTCCGCCGGATACGGCTCGCCAACCACGCCCCCACTCCCAAAGTTCAGGAGGGAAACAAAAATACACAGACACAATGAATCGTCGATTCCCCAGAAAATCCAGGAAAATATGGGAAGGGGGGGGGAAGACGAACATCCAGAAAGTATGGGGAAATATGGGGGATCCTGGGATTTGTGTGTATTTGTTTGTGTGTCACTGGGCCCCATTCAACGTCCCGAGCGTTTCCGAGCATCCCGCCACGTGGCGCGGAGCGGCACGTCATCAGCCCGCAGGGCACAGTGTGCCGCAGCGGCCGCCGCCACGAGACGCCGAGCAGTTGTCCCCGACCGTGTTGGGAGGCGAGCGTGTCCACGGCCTGCCACGGAGGTCGGCCAATCTGTGGAAAAAAAAACACAACATTGCGTAACAATACACGCAGTGGAAAACATCAATGTGGAAAACTCACAACGTGGAAACAAACACGGTGGAAAACAAACCACACAGACACACGCACACAAACAAAACAAACACACACAGTCTGTGTGTTTCTTTTCCAAAGTGAGTTTTTGTTCCACTGTGTGTAGTTTGTGTGCGTGCGCGTGCCTGTGCGTGTGCGTGTGCGTGTGCGTGTGTGTGTGTGTGTGTCTGTGTGTGTGCGTGTTCGTGTGCGTGTGTGCGTGTGTGCGTGTGTACGTTGGTACGTGTGTACGTGTGTGTGTGTGTGGCATTCCATTGTGTGTGTGTGTTTTTTTCCGCAGGGGGCATCGCGTCGTCGTTCCGCCCTTGTGCGTTTTCATTGTGGGCGCTTGGCTCGTGATCCATCGTCGCCAAAGCGCGTTCTACGACTCGCAAGGCGCCTACGTAGTCGCAAACCTTCGGACAAAAGCACACATGTCTTCCTCTACGTAGTGGATCGTAAACCTCTCACGGCGGATCGAGACTATGTGTGGAAGTAACTACTTTGCGAGTAGTGGATCGCGCTGGTCTAAATCGGGCGAGTTTCAAGCCTGTGCATTGTCGACGGCCCTCCCTACGCAAGCATTCTGGTGGGCTCGCGAGGGTTCCCAGAAACCACGATGTGCAGAAGCAGGAAAAGCGTCGTATGTGTGTTTTTACGCCGCGAGGGCGTGCGGGCAGGGCACCCGACCATCCTGCTGGCGGCGCGCCCAGGTGGGGAAGGCAGAGGGGGCGGGCTTCTCAGTAGGATCGGAAGCCCCCCCAAGCCGCCCCGAGAAGCTTTCGAAGCCTGACCCGAAGCCGCAGGAAGGGCGTCTCAGAAGGCCAGAGGGCTTCCGAGAAGCCCCGCCGCTTTCTGAGAAGGCCTGCGCCATCTCACTCCCTTTCCCCTCGGCACCCGACCCTCTTGCTGCCCAGTCCCCATGCAGGCGCCCTTCCTGTCCAGCGCCGGTGGCGGGGGGGAAGGGGGAGGAGCGCCGCAGGCCGGGGGCTTCGTGATGCCCGCGGACGACCCCCAGCCGGCGCGCATCGACGGCCAGCGCCGCCCTCGCAGCTTTCCTCCTCCTTCTATTCCAACTGCTCCTCATCCTCCTCCCTCCTCCTCCCTCCTCCTCCCTCGGCAATACTATCCGTAGGACGCGATAGGGTGGTAAGAGCACTTGGTTCCCCAGACGCTCCAACCTCCTGTTTTTTCCTTTTATCTTTCTGACGCGTTCTACGACTACGACTACGACTACGACTACGACTACGACTACTACTACTACTACTACTACTACTACTACTACCACTACTACTACTACTACTACTACTACTACTACTACTACTACTACTACCACTACTACTACTACGGCTACTACTACTACTACTACCACCACCACCACTACTACTCTTACTACTACTACTACTACTACTACTACTACTACTACTACTACTACTACGACTACTACGAATACTATTACGAATACTACTACGAATACTACGAATACTACTACTACTACTACTACTACTACTACTACTCCTACTACTACTATTACTACTACTACTACTATTACTACTACTACAACTACTACTACTACTACTACTACTACTACTGCGACTGCTACTGCTACTGCTACTACTAGCACTACTACTACTACTACTACTACTACTACTACCACTACTACTACGACTTATACTACTACGGCGGCGGAATTGGATAAGGAACGTCTTCCTGGGGCCCAAACCTTGGTGCATTCCTTATTGTTTCAAAGCGAGGTGGGTGACCCACGCTTGGCCGCCCATCGATCGCGAGACCCTGGGTTCCTTATCTAAAACCTCTACCGTACTACTACTACTACTACTACTACTACTACTACTACTACCACTACTACTACTACTACTACTACGACCATAACTACTATTACCGCTACTACTACTACTACTACTACTACTACTACTACTACTACTACCACTACCACTACTACTACTACTACTACTACTACTACTACTACTACTATTACTACTACTACTACTACGACGACGACGGCGACGACGACGACGACGACGACGACGACGACCTACTACTGCTGCTACGACTACGACTACTACGATTAACAGTATGACTACTGCTCGTACTGCTACTACTACTTCTGCTAATACTACAACGACTACTACGACTACACCACTACCACTACTATTACAACTAGTACTACTACGGCCATTACTACTACTACTACTTTTACTACTACTACTACTACTACTACTACTACTACTACGACCTACTACTACTACTACGACTACTACTATTACTACTACTACGATTACTACGACTACTACTACGACTACTAGTACTACTACTACTACTACTACTACTACTACTACTAGTACTACTACTACTACTACTACTACTACTACTACCACTACTACCACTACTTCTACTGCTAATACTACTGCTACTACTACTACTACTACTACTACTACTACTATGACTACTATGACTAGGACGACTAGTATTTCTACTACTACTAGTACTGCCACTTCTGCTGCGACTACTACTTCTACTGTTTCTGCTACGACTATTCCTCCTACAACTATTTCGTCTACGGCTACTACTACTACTACTACTACTACTACTACTACTAGTACTACTACTACTACTACTACTACTACTACTACTACTACTACCTACTCCTGCTACTACTACTACTATTACTATTATTACTACTACTACTACTACTACTACTACTATGACTCGTATGGCTACGACGACTACTACTTCTACTACTACTACCACTACTACTGCCACTACTGCTGCTACTACTACTTCTACTACTTCTGCTACGACTATTCCCCCTACTACGATTACGACTACTACTACTACTACTACTACTACTACTACTACTACTACGACTACTCGGTCCACTACTATTACTACTACTACTACTACTACTACTACTACTACTACTACTACTACTACTACTACTACTTCTACGACCGGGGCTACTAATACGATTACGACTGCGACTAGTTCTCTTTGTACTATCTTTACTACGACTACCACTACTACGACGCCGACTACTACTATTATGCTTACTACTACTACTATTCCGACGACTACTACTACTACTACTACTACTACTACTACTACTACTTCTACTCCTACTACTACTACTACTACGACTACGACGACGACTACTACTACTACTAGTACTACTACTTCGACTCGGGCTATTACTCATACTACGGCAACGACTACTACTAGTATTACTGCGAGTGCTACAGTTTCTATTACTGTTACTACTACGACTACAACTACGGCGACGACGACGACGACGACGACTACTACTACTACTCCTACGACGAATACGACTACTACTACTACTACTACTACTACTACTACTACTACTACGACCTACTTATAATGCTACTACTACTACTACTACTACTACTACTACTACTACCTACTACTACCTACTACTACTACTACTACTACTACTACTACTA